GGATAAAAAGTAAAACCGAAGGAGACGACTTAGGTGGGTGCAGGATCAATTAACATGATAATGAAGGAATTTGTAGTATCTGTCCTGGCGCCCAGAACATTTGGTTGTGCCCCAGGGTCCAGAAAAAAGGGAAGTTACAAGTTACCCAGACATTTCAAGGGTATGTTATCTTAGAGGCAAAAAGGCAAATGGGCTCAGTAAGGATCAAAGTTGATCTTGTCAGTGAAGATACTGGCCTAGGACATAACTGCCCACCATAACTGCTTTTAGTTAAAGTTTAATTTCAGACCATCCTTTGTGGTTACTTTAGGTCTCCGAGTCTGCAGAACTGCCATGCAGGCCTCTCCTGAGCTTGTCAGGTCAGCACGTGGCCCCTTTTGTCCACATGTAAAAGATGTATGTGTTCCTCATTTGACTTTTCATCCAATCCCAGAGGTTTCCCTCCACTCTCCCACTCCTTTGCTCTCTCCCGCCTCCCTAACCTATCACCACTGGATTTTTTGTAACCCATTTGTGTCATCTCTTATGATTGTAATGTATAAAATAAGATGCAAACCTGCTATTCTCTGAAGCATTATCTCAATCCATTGTCAAGGAAGAAACATTCAAACCCAAGTTTTAAAAGGAAGATTTGGTTTAGATGGTATAGTCAGGAATGGGAGGAGATAGATATGCTCAGGGCAGGTATGGACAGCCCATTCTTAAGTTCAGATCAGCCTCCCCATAGTGGAGGACTAACTGGAAGTCCTCCTGCTAAAAGTGTCTGGATATGTGCTTCCATGCAGGAGAGTCTCTGTTCCTCATTGATCCTCATGTAATTGATTTCCCTGTGGTTTTGTGGAGAGCATATTTTGTCTAAACTATCTCTTACCTCTCATAACTTATTTGAGTTTTGGCGGGTGAAGGGTTTGCATGGAGAACTAGTGTGGGTTTTTAAAATTTGGAGCTCTGAGGCAATTCTTTTCCCAGCTCCGGCTTTTGTGGACTCTGCTTCCCCAGTGAATTACCCATGAGGAAATCTGACCAGTTCTTGCAACTCTAAAATCATGGCTCATGTAAGTTTGTGTTTCTCTCTTTATGAAATGTAATTTTTTTCAGCTTACGTAAACATTTTCATTAATTATCTGAAACTTTCTAACAGAGCCCATTCAACAGCTTCTCCCCAGTCTTTTCCAATCTAGTGAGGGATGGAGCCCAGCAGTCCAGGCTCCTCTTGTGTGCCCCTCTTTTCTTCATCAATGTGCATGTGTGAAGTGACCAAATTATTCAGTATCTCCTGTGTGTTTGGTCTTTGTCTAGAGCAGAGGTAAAGCGGAAATGAGGTCTCTAGAGGGAGATATTTGATCTGATACTCTTAGGACTAGAGAACACTTTAGAGTAGCAATGTCCTAAAAAATTATAATGTGAGCCACATATGTGATTTTAAATTTTCTAGTAGTCACACATTGAATGCTCTATAGAATGATCGTGCCTTCTTCATGCAGTAGGCAGCATAACATTTCAGTTTCATAAAAGTATAGAGTAATATGCAAGGCATTTACATAATTAACCTTCTTAGTAGTCACATTTAAAAAAAGTGAAAAGGAATGTGCAGTTTAATTTTTAATGTTTTTTTTTAACCCCAATTTAGCCAAAAATAGCATCATTTCAAAGTGTAATCAACATAAAATTATTGAGGTATTTTACAATTCTTTTTTCATTTGAAAGTCATCAGTGTCTGGTGTGCATTTTATACTTACAGCACATCTAAATCTGGACTAGCCACAATTCAAGTGCTCAATAACCATATGTGTCTAAGCTAGCATACAGTGGGGCCTTGACTTACGAGTTTAATTCGTTCTGAGACCGAGCTCGTTAAGGAGCTTGTAAAGGAGCTCGTTAACTCAAATTACTCTATCAACTCAATGCAAAAAATCGGCCGAGTGACAGCTGGTATCTCAAAAAACTCGTTAGTCGGGACACTCGTAAGTCAAGGCCCCACTGTATTGGACATTGCAGTGTTAGAGATTTTGTGTATTTACTAAGTCTAAAATGTATATAAAATGGACTATTGTATATTAAAAATATTCAATAAAGGATATTATAATTAGGACAAATGCTAATGATAGAACATAATGATGAAGTTAGGTCTGGAAGAAATTTGTTTATGTAAACTCTACTTTTTAAAAATAGATATTTTATGGTTCATTTGGGGAAAATAATTCCATCAATTTTTTTCTCAAATCCTTAAAGGAATAGAGGTTAGAGTAAATCACACTTATTGAGAATTTTTAGGCCCATTGTAAGCAATGTTCTTAGGAACATTATTTTAATTAATTGGGAAATTCTGATAATTACCTGAACAGATATAAAAGTAGATATTCCACAGTACAGAGGCAGTTTTGTCTATTGCATTGGTGGGCAAATTATAGCTTGTGAACCAGCTTGAGCTAATTACATTTTGAAATCATTTTTTAAATGAAGGGAAAATGGGAGGAAATACAAGAGAGACCATATGTGGCATGCAAACCCTAAAGTATTGGCCCTTTTCAGAAATAATTTTACAAATAATATATGAATTTGTCATTTCAGGATTTGGTGATATTCAGAGATGTGGCTGTAGACTTTTCTCAGGAAGAGTGGAAATGCCTGAACTCATATCAGAGGAATTTGTACAGAGATGTGATATTAGAGAACTATAGCAACTTGGTGTCAGTGGGTAAGCTTATCTGTATCAGATAATTTAGAACTTAACAGGACTGGATTTCAGGGCTGTCTTTTTAAAAATTGGCTGAATATCTTTGTGGTTTTGAAATAGGCACCTTTACTATTAAGCTGTTAAATAGCACCGTCAATTTCCCCATAATTTAATGATCTTTATATCTTTCTTTGCCGTTTGTGTAATTGCCTATCTTTAAAGACCGCTAATTGTAAATTCTTAGACACAGTAAAACTGTTACTGGGAACCCCCCCGCTTGGCTCGGGCTGCCTGACGCAATGTCCAATAACGAAGGCAGGGTTGAATCATATAAGGAGTTTATTAAGAAGGCCAGTCAAGCAAGAAGCCGGGAGCTTACAGGCATCCAAAACCTGTCTTACAGCAAGGAGCAGGGGGGACAGGATTATATAGGAAAAATGGATTGGGCTGAGGTTGGGAACAGAATGCAATTGCATTCAGTCCTGGGGGTCAGCAGAATTCAACTGTTGTTCTTGGTTGTCAGGCAATGAAATGATGTCTTGGCTCCTGGTGGGGTCAGCCTGATCATGCTTAACAGTTCTGCTTGCTTGCTGGTATAGTATACATTGTCCACAGCTGAATCACCTCCTCAATCACTTTGTTTGGGATCAAAGGGAGTAAGCAGGTACATCAGCCTGAGAAATGAAACTTAGAAAAGAAAAAAAAAACTTAACCCTCTATTCCAGTGGTTCTCAACCTTGGCTGCACATTAGAATCACCTGGGAATCTTTTTAAAATCCTGATTTCTGGGCCTCATCCTCTGGAAATTCTGTTTCTTTGTTATGGGGTGGGTCCACAGCATAACAAGGTTGAGAACCACTGCTCTATTCCATATAAGAAACGTAACTCTATATTCCTATATGTATATGTATTCTAGGATTTCAAATTGATATGTTTATCCTTCACATTAATTCAGGTGCTCTATCAGATTATAAGTCCCTCCGTATCAAGACCATTGTTAAAGAAATCTGGTTTCAATACTGCTGTAGCTAGTCTTATTATTATTATCTCTTACTGATTTTAGAGAGAGTAAGGAGGAGAGAGAGAGAGAGTCTGAGAGAGAAACATTGATGATGTGAAAGAGAAACATTGATTGCCTCCAGTTCATACAACCTAGGTATGTGCCCAGACCTGAAATCAAACCCACCACCTTTTGGTGTATGGGATGATGCTCCAACCAACTGAGTCACACTGGCCAGGGCTGTACCTAGTCTATTAATCTGCTAACTCGCAGTGTGAGTAGGAAAACAAAGGTGTCTAACTCTATATACCTATTGGAAAAGCTTATATATGATGGTGGATTGAATCAACTGTTAAAACTCAAGTGAACGCATGCAATTTACTACAATGGACATACCTTTAATTTATGATTAATACTTATAAAATGCATGAATTTTGCATTTACCATTGAATGAATATCCTGGCAAGAAATTAATTATTTTCTTCTTAGCAAAATAGCAAAAATAGTACCTAATAAATATATTTAATGCCTACTTGTAGGGAGCGGCTATAGGGTCAAGCCTTGGATTGACCTGTGGCAGGGCCACAAACAAGTCCCAGCTTGGAGGGCAGAGCCCTCTTAGCATAATTAAGCCTAACATTATAGCCCTCCCTAGTTCCTTCCTAGGTAGCTAATGGGTGTGGGAGGTGCAGCAAGTGCTGCCAAAACAAGGTGAAACTCACAAGAACATTGTAAACATGTTGACCACTACCCTTGTTTTGATCTGACTATAAAATAAAGCCTTGGCTTGCAGGCTGGATCTGTCTGTGTCCTCATTCAGGCATGGGAGATCCACAGAGCCCCAGCTGTATTCTCTTTGTTTTCTTTGATCCTTCACCACGTCCCCTCAGGTTCACCCTTGGCCGTGCTGGCATGGCACACCTACTCAGTACTAGGGATTCATCAAAGCGCTTTATGTTTATTAAACCTCACAAGAATATTATGAGTCAACATTGTTATTATTCCCTTTTAACAACTGAAAACACTGAGGCCCTGGCTACTTAGGTGATAGTAGGATTTGAAACTAATGCTCTCAATCATTAACTTCCTCTTAAGAGATAGCCTGTATGGTTTAAATTAAAATAAAATGATGTTTCTACCTCTCTGTCCTTATGATCCTGAAATAACTCTAATATGAGTAATTTTTAATCCCATTATTCATCATAGTTCTGAAGCTTGATAAAGTAAATACTTTCTTTATTATGTTCCTTTATTTTTCTTCTTTTTTTCCCCCCAATGCAGGATGTTCCATTTCTAAGCCAGATGTAATTACCCTATTAGAGCAAGGGAAAGAACCTTGGATGGTTGTGAGGGATGAGAAAAAAAGATGGAGTCTGGGTGAGTAAGTGCTAATCAGGCAGAGGTAAGCCATTATGGCATGGTATAGTGCTGCTGGTTGGGAAGGAAACACATCCCTTAGGTGTTGATTATGAAGAAAAGACCTGAAACCTGGGAAGAAAACTTAGATTGCAGCATGATTCACCAAAGAAATTATACCTATACTTCCATTACCACTTATTTCTTCACTCATATTTCCCTCTAATTTCAATGAGGGAAAGTTTTCTTCCCAAATGACAACCATTTTACCTGTATTTTGGATCTTACCCTTTTTAGTTCATCTTTCGTATTTAACCTATTTAATGTATTTATTTCTTCATTGCCCTTTTTTCATAGCTTTATAGTAGGAAAGTCAAGCAATAAACACAAGCAAATGCCTTACCAGATATCATGAAGTGATTAAGTATTATGAACAAAAATTAGTAGAGTAAGAATTATGATGGGAGATGGGGTAATATTGGATAGGGTAATTAGGGAAGGGGAACCAATTGGAGGAGGCTCCAACTTGTCAAAGATGGAATCATTTGGGCATCTATACACATAACTGCAATGTGTTACAACAAAATATGCTTTAATATGTTTAATCCCATAAATTCTTAATGATAATAACAGCGAATTGTTCATTACTGGGGAACTACTAGAGATTTAACTTATTTGGAAGATAGAAAATTTAAGAAAAAGAAACATTTCTCTTGTCTTTCTTACTATAAGAACTGTTCTTATAGTAAAGAATGTTTTTATTAATAAAATGTTCAGTGAATAAATGAAGAATGATTGAATATTTCCATTTTGGAACCTATAATGAACTATTGGATCTAGGCATTGAAAATTAATGCTGATCACATCACAAAAATAAAGACAATCAGACATTATATTTCTTCTAATGTATGGACACAATATTACCTAGGAAATAACTTTGCCAACAAAATTGATACTATGTCTGATCAAATTTCTAAAGCCAGTTATCAATTAATAGGAAGATATAATCAGCAAAATTCAGAATATGGGAAAAACTACAGGGCCAAAAACAGTTTCTTCAACAAATAAATTGTAAGAGAAATCAAAAGATAGCAGGAGAACCTATAGATTAAAAAGGATGTAAACAACATATTAACCAGTTGTACTTTATGAGATTTGGATCAATTACGATTTTAGAGATAGTTGAAAGTACGATTTTTTAAAAATTGGTTTCAGAGAGGAAGAGAGAGGGAGAGATAGAAACATCAGAGATGAGAGGGAATCACCAGTTGGCTGCCTCCTGCGCATCCCACACTGGGGATCAAATCCGCAACCCAGGCCTCCTGGTTCCTAGGTCAATGCTCAACCACTGAGCCATACTGGCTTGGCTGATTTCTGATGATATTAAGAATTGTTCATTATTTAGTTTTGGATAGTGATATTATGATTATGTTTTTAAAAATACTTTTAGAGATAAATTCTGAAAGAAGTACAAAAAATACTTTTAATATATGGAATTTGTTCTTACCATTTGCAACAGCAAGGGTGGAATTGGAGAGCATTATGCTAAGTGAAATAAGCCAGTCAGAGAAAAATAAATATCACATGATCTCACTTATTTGTGGAAGATAATGAACAACATAAACTGATGAACAAAAACAGATCCAGAGACAGAGAAGCATCAGACTGTCAAACCTCAGAGGGAAGGTAGGGGAGGGTGGGGGTAAGGGGGAGAGGTCAACCAAAGGACTTTCATGCAAGCATATAGGCCTAACCAATGGACACAGACAACAGGAGGGTGAGGGCATGAGTGGGGGGAATGGGGGGTGATGTGGGGATAAGGACACATATGTAAAAACTTAATAAATAAAAAAAATAAAAATAAATAAATAAAAAATAATGTGAACAGAATAGGCTAGGATTGGGCTTGGGTTGATGAGGCTGGGTCATAGATACATGGATGTTTATTATTCCTTTTTGTGTATGTTAGTAATGCTCTTGTAATGAAGTTTGCTTTTATTTTTTATTTTTTAAATATATTTTGTTGATTTTTTACAGAGAGGAAGGGAGAGAGATAGAGAGTTAGAAACATCGATGAGAGAGAAACATCGACCAGCTGCCTCCTGCACATCTCCCACTGGGGATGTGCCCGCAACCCAGGTACATGCCCTTGACCGGAATCGAACCTGTGACCTTTCAGTCCGCAGGCCGACGCTCTATCCACTGAACCAAACCGGTTTCGGCAATGAAGTTTTCTTTTAAAGTTATCGGAAGGCCCTGACTTTGCCATAAAAGCATGCATGGGATACAGGAAATGCATTTTTTTTAAAGGTGTGTAATATTAGAACACATTTATAGGCTGAAGGCAATGATTTCAAAGAGAGGAAAATTGAAGGAGTATAAAAAGAGGATTGTTTTGTAAGCAATGACCTTTAGTAGATGGGAAAGAGTAGGAGCCAATTTATGAAGGAAAATTATGCCTATGGTAAGGATATGGACATAAATTGGTTGGATAATGTGGTGAAGAGAAGAATTGTTTTTCTTTCAATTGCTTCTAATTCCTTGGTGAAATAAGCAGCAAGATAACTAGCAGAATGTGAGGATTATTTAGTATTTTATTGTAATTCAGTATGGAATGTTTAGTATTTGATCAGTATTGATCCTCAGAAGTAGAATTCTGTGGTCATAAGGTTTTAATGTTTACAGAACTCTTGATACATTAACCCCAGTGTCAATGTGACTAAAAAGGCCTCTGTCATAAATATTTTGTAACCCATACCAAATTGTATCAGCAAACAAAAAAAAAGTTATTAAAGACATCATACCTCAGGAAACATTAATTTTATGACCAAGTAGTTTGCTTCTCATTTTCTTTTTAATTAAAGCTGAGACCCTGCAAATAGAAATAACATTTCTCGGGGAGAGGAAAGATGGCGATCGACAGGAAGGCAGGGAGGGAGTGTGTGTGAGAAGGTGAGGGAGCTATAGGGGAGTGTGTGGACGTGTATGGGTGTGTGTGTGAGTGAAATAGGGACAGTTAGGTCCTGCAGGTCTTTCAAGGGGCTGCCAATCCGGACAGTCTTAGACGGCAAAATCCCGTTGCCGCCGCAAACACTCCGGGGAGGACACCAGCGGCGCGGAGACCACGCTATCTTGAAGAACCGAACTGCTTGAGGCTGGGATCCTAGCCTCGCCACCACCCAGTCTGGTCTCGGTAACAAACTGGAATCCCACAGCCGCTCTGGTAGAAGACCTGAGACCACAGCTGCAGACCCAGGGACACCAAGACTCCAGGCACCCCAGCCGCAGATTTCTGTGAGTCACAAAGCCAATCCCCCTCCCCAGCTGCCCCCGGGGCAGCAGCATAGAAACTGCCAGACCCCGGCTGCACAGTGGGGCTGTCTGCATACACTCAGCAGCAGCAGCAGCTCTGCCTGACTTTCAGCCTTGGTGTCGGACGCAGGAAGTTTATTTCCCACCACCAGACTCCGCGGGCGGGCAGACTGTGCTGAATTTGAGCCTGGGTGCGCATCCTTGGTGAGACTGTTTCCTGGGACCAGATCCCGCGCCCACGCAGGGCAGGGAGACAGCGCTGTTTGAGTCTGGATGTGCGGGAACTTGGGGAATCTATTTCTCGCGACTAAGCTATGCACCCAGGCAGGGAGACTGCTGAGTTTGGGCCTGGGTGCGCATTGTTGAGGACACAGTTTTCTGCGACGGGGTCCTGTGCCCACGCGGGGAGACAGCGCTGAATTTGGTCCTGGGGGTGCAGACCCGGGGAGTTTGTTTCCCACAACCAGGCCCTGCACCCTAGCAGAGAGGCTACGCTGAATTTGAACCTGGACGTGCGAACCCGGGGAGTTTGTTGCCCTCGCCCAGGCTCTGTGCCCAGGCGGGGAGAGGGTGCTGTATTTGAGCCTAGGTGCGCAACCTTGGGGAGATTGTTTTCCGAGACCAGGTCCCCCGCCCACGTGGGGAGACAGCTCTGAATTTGAGCCTGGGGCACGAACCCGGTGAGTTTGCTTCCCATGACCAGACCCGGCACTCAAACAGGGAGATTACGCTGAATTTGAACCTGAACGTGCGAACTTGGGGAGTTTGTTCCCCACGACCAGACCCCGTACCCACGCAGGGGGACATCACTGAATTTGAAACTGGGTGCTTGGACACCCACACCCACACTGAGCAGCAGTGCCACCTGACTTTGATTCAGGGCAAGCACACAGAGAAGGCTGTTTTCCACAGGGCAGGAGTGGGCCTCCTGCCAACACAGTGCGACTGTGCAACCCGATCTCCCAAGCAGATCGGGGACCCTGAATCTCCACGCAAGAGGCAGCAATGAGCACCAGGGACTAGTAGACTCTGTTTCTTATTGCATGCACCTGGGATCCCTGATTCCCAGTACAATCACACTAAGAGCCAGAGACTCCAATTATTGGCGCATGAGCACAGAGGGACCCTGATTCTTGGTGCAAGATAGCACCAAGCAACATAGATTCTGATACTCCATTCTGGCACGGACACAGGGAGCCTCTGACTCCTGACACGCACTAGGAGACTTTGATCTTTGGCACACCTCAGCAGGTTCTCTGATTCAGTGTGGTGCAGGCAGGGTTCCTGATTCTAGGTGCGCACAGGAGGCCACACTAAGCGTCTGAGACTCTGACCTGGGACGAGCGTGGCTCTCACCAACCCACAGCAGCCTCACGTCTTGGTGTCAGAGCTCTTCAGTGACACTTGGGGGGCACAAAACTCCCACTGCGCACGGCCCAGGCCCCTGCAACTTGACATTTGAACATTCTGGTGATAGTCAGAATGGGGAGACAGCAAAACAATTCCCAGAGGAAAGAAAATGAGTCGCCAAGAAAGGAAATTACTGAAATTGAAGCATGCAACATGACGCGGCATTAAGAAGGTTCAGAACCACTGTCCTAACTCCTAGTCATTCCTTCCCACCAAAGTTAAACACTATCCTGACTTATAACAACTCCATAGATTAGTTTTACTATTTCCTGGCTTTATGAAAATGCAGTCATACAGTATATATTTTTTTTATGTCTGGCTTTGTTTACTCACTATTATGTTTGTGAAATTGAATTATGTTGTCTGCACTTGTAGATTATTAATTTTCATTGCTAGACAGTATTGTGTTGTATCAATATGACATAATTTACTTAGCAATTCTATTGATGAACACCTCTTTCTAGTTTGGGCAAATTAAAAATAATGTTTCTGTATTATGCGTTTTTAAAAATACCTTTTTTTTAAAGTATTGAACTCTTATTGCAAAAATTTTGAGAAAAATGTGTAACAGTTTTGCATAGTTATAGAAATTCAAATGAAGATAAGTAGAACCTCTCATTACCTTGGTTGTGAAAGCAGGAGAAAGTTTATTCATGACTATGCAAAATAGAAAATGATCTTCAGTGGAGATATCTGAAAGTGAAAGTAGAGAGGTAGTTGGAAGGATAATCACATATAAAGAAATCACTATTTTCCATTTATATATTTGATTGGGATAGCTTAGATGTGTTTTTGTTTCCCATCACTATTGGAAATGATGAAAAAGAATATTTAATCAGTGTAGTAAACTACAAGATTGAAGGCAAGGCAACATGGCAATACTTTTAGCTAATTATGGGAATTGACTAGACCAGTGGTTCTCAATCTTGGCTGCACATTAGAATCACCTGGGAATCTTTTTAAAATCCTGATTTCTGGGCCTCATCCTCCAGAAATTCTGTTTCTTTGTTATGGGGTGGGGCCACAACATTAGTAACAAAGAAACAGAATTTCCGAAGGATGAGGCCCAGAAATCAGGATTTTAAAAAGATTCCCAGGTGATTTTAATGTACAGGCAATGTTGAGAACCACTGGACTAGAAAATTACTGTGTCCTATGGATTTGTTAGTCAATGATAATTGAAAGATTGTTTCTGCCCTTGGGAAGGTTTAAGGTAAATAAAAAGAATAAAAACTAGGAAAATCATTAATATGTAACAACTAAATTAAAAAAAGTGTTAAGCATGGA